GGAGTAGAGTAAGCGACAGATATCCATGTCGAAGTGCTCTTTACTGTCCTTTGTGTAGCCATCAACCTTGTACACTCCTGCGATGGGAATGCAGCGAGAGCAACGATCTCCGACGATGACAAGCTGATTGTTCTTTGTTGTTGTAGCTGAATGATGCTGAGATGATGTGGTACTTAAACCTATGCCAGCTATGTTGAGATGAAAGAACCTGCATGAATGGGGGGGGAAAAAAGGGCTTTAAACGAGCATGGTTCATCAGATGAAATACACAGAGTGATTGGAGATACTGCAAGTGTGATGATTACCTATGCCTGCTTTCGGTAGGATGGTTGTCAGTGTTATTTGGGATGGAATGGCCGCTGTTCATTTTGGCGATCAGCTTATGTGTATCTATTTCTATCTGGCAGCTTTAGAACTTAGGTAGGTGGGTTGCGGACTTGAGCGGATTGCACGGCCTTGTGGAAATATCCGATACGACACTACATTGTGGAGTGAAAACGTTTTCCCTCGAGCCTGTTGAATGCATGGCATGTTCCTGTCCAGAAGTGCTCTGCAGTATTGCTTCTACAGGCCAGATGAGAGCCCATCTTAAACCACCGCTACCTTTCCCATATTTCGGCCGCGTGCATCTAGTAGCCTACTCCTGAAAAATAGCCGCTGCGCCGCTGTTGATATTTTCATTGACGGCACGTCGCGGCTGGATTCGAATTTGAGGCCAGCGGGCCCACATATGAGAAAGGTGGTGATATGGTCTGACGGAGCTTTTTCGCTGTATGTGGTTGACGGAGGCAGGGCATGACTGAGAGGTGGAGATGTAACCCATCTCCCTAACACTCAGAAAATGCTGGAGATCTTTATCTGTTTCGTTTTCTCAGTTCAGGATGCACATTCCTCTTACCCACCCCTCTTGGGTCGTCTCGATTGGCAAACCTCCTTGGGTGTGTGTGACGGGTAGAAATAGGGAGAATTGTGTGTGTGTGTATAGATGGGTGCGCTTCCAGAGCTTGAGGGAAAAGGAGGGATGCGAAGTGGTGGAGCTGTGTGTATACATGGGTGCGCAGGCAACGGGAGGGTGGAGGGGGAACCGTGAGGTAGGTAGGTAGGTGGCTTTGCCTACTGCTCCCGTGTGGCGCTGAAGTCTAGACTATGAACTACTTACTGGCTATAGCGGGAAACAGCTGCGGAAGGGAGGGGGTGGAGGAGGGTGTTTGCCTGTGCGTGCTCATGACTATAATCAGATAATGTGTTAAAAATGGAGAGGAAGCAAGCTGGCCAATCACATTTCCTCCCCCTCAGTGTTTGCTTATTTGACGAGTTTGCAAACGAGGTAGGGAGAAACGGAAAATGATGCTGAATGCCTTGTCACCAAAATGGGCCGGGCGGGGGAAGAGAGGGGCGGTGGGAGGGGATATGATTGGTCTTACTGCAGTGTTTTGTGTCCTCTCACCCCGATCCACTTTCATCGCAGCCCTTGGTTTTGTGATTGTTCTAGATGTGGACAAGTGCCAATACGCGAGGTTGATATTTTATGTAAGGTTGATGTTGCCTATGGCGACGCCCATAAACAGCTGTTAGGATTCTGTGTCATTTGCTTTGCTCCTTCCTTAGAAGTTGGAATGCACAAAAAAAAGTAAAAATAAAAATAAAAAAAATGGAATGCACCTGTGAACTTTCACAAGCTTAACTAGTGATGTCAGTCTCTGGAGCCTCTCACAATTTTCCACATCCTATCCCTTAAGCAGCATTGGCTGTGGGGGAGAGGTCCATGACGCACTGTGCGCCGGATTTGGGTTGAAGTTTTGGCGAGGGGCATCGGATGAAGGAGATCGAGGGTGGGGGAGTGTGCAGAGGGGTGCGCGTACCGAAATGTTCACAGCACACCATTAAACGAGAGCACGCGTCCGGGAGTGGGGCACACGGCTGGCATTGATGCGGACAAACATCTTGGAGGCGAGCCATCCGATTTGCAGGCCCCCTTTTTTTTTCCCCGGTTGGCCGTCGTTTTGTGTCCCCCTTCTCCTTTTTTCATTTCTCGCGCCTGTCGTTTTGTGTCCCCCCTTTTTTTTTCTTTTCTTTTTCTTTTCCTTCCTTCTTTTTTCATTTCTCGCGCGGCTGTCGTTTTGTGCCCCGCGGTAGGCCTTCGTTGTTTCTGCGGACGAAGAGCTTGGAGGCGAGCCATCTGAAATGCAGTGTGAGGTCACCCACTGCATTTGTTATTTCTTCGGGCGTAGCCTGCACCGCCCACACCGCTGGCACTTAGCTAGTCTCTTATTAGGGACGACCATCCAATGTCCAAGTGTTTTTCACATGGAACCCTGAGCCTAAGCCTAATAAATTAAGAATAGCGGCAATAGCCTAAAAAAATATAATCCCTCCATTGATTAGGGTTTGGGGTTATGAGGGTTGAGAACTGTTACACACTTTCTAGTGATGTCGGTCTCTTGAAAGCACATGGCCAGAGTGGAAGGGGTGCTTCCAGTGCCTTGAAAGCTTCATAACCTCAGGGGACCCTGGTCTCATGTTTAGCTCTTCCTTTAGTGTTATTTGATTGTGATTTACCAAGTCGTTGCTCAAGACCATGAAGCGTGTCGTCACAGTTTGACGGTTTACTGAGTTTTTTTTTGTTTCCAGTAAGAAGTCTGCGAGGGCCCTCCCTCTGATGCCAAAGATTAAAAAAGCAAAGAGAAAAGGTATGCAAGGGATGCAATGTTTCGATCGTATAGACGGTCACCAATCCGCGGGGTGGAGCGCTCACAGTCTTCGATGTCTTGCCCCACCCGGTTTAATAAGGTGTAGGTCTTCTTGTCGATTCACCTGCCCTGTGTGTGGTCAGGCGTTTCGTTGTATGTCCACTCCGTCGTCCTTCCATACTGTTTCCCTTTGTGCATCGGTGATGTGCGAGTACTCCCAACTTCCCAAGTCTAACGGGGTAATCCCTTCGTCAATAGTTTCCACGAGCGTTTTGTTGGGGTTTTCAATTTCAAAAATTTTGAGCTCTGTTGCTGAGTGTTGTTGTTTCTGGAAAGAGGAAGGACTGCTCGGGCGAGCTAACATGCTGTCCTGGATGGAGTGTCCGCTAATTCATCATTTTCATTGCAAGTGCTCATCGAGGGGCGGATGTGGGGGGAGCATTGGGAAGCGAGCGGCAAGAACAAATAAAAAGGGTGCCCCGAAGAAAGCTATAAGTAGACATAGTTAAGAAAAGGGATATAAGTTCATATAACAGATCTATTCTGCTCCATGTTGCATGCCATGGAGGTAAACCTGTTTCATTGTCCGCAATAGAGGCAAGGCTGCTTGTATGTGCGTGTGTGTGTTGTAGTTTTTCACCGCAACAGCCCCTGTTCCACCTGTAGATGAGCAGATCCTGCTGCCAGCTGGTTTTTGCAGCACCCTGGCGGAAACCACCTTTGATCACCTCAAATGCAGTTCGACTACGGTCTCCCCCCCAATACAACATACGCTGTACGGTCATTATACCTGTATTTGGATCAACGTTTAGTCTACGTACAGGTCTAATGACTGTACGCCGTACGGTCTATTCCTATTCGGGGAAGAAGGTAGCTGTCTATGCTGGTTGCTCTTCCGTGGACCACCATGACTGTTAACTCTTGTGGCTGTGCTGTTCTGTTCTTCATCTTCTGTTTTCTGCACTCTTGAAGAGCTGGCGCTGCTTTGAAATTGCTGCCGTTTTGAAGATCGTCATCGAAGGACACAATAAACGAGGAGGGAGGCTCTGAGGAGGAGAGAACAGGGGCGGGGGGACAGTGCGAGACATGCGGGGAGTCTCGATGAAGGTAGAGGTTCTTCTGGGCTATCATTTTCCCGGGCTTGCGAAATTGGGTCGATGTTTGTTTCAGTCGGCTTCTCGCGAGGACCTACTGACGTTCGACTCTGACTTTGACTTGGCGCTTACGGTTCCAATCCTGTGTGCCAGTGTGATCGTACGCGAGCGCTGTCTTTGTGGACAGAGAACTTCGTTATCGCTTCTACTCTCCTCCTCTTCTCTTTCTGGATCTGGATTAGGAGCTGTTTTCTCGTCCTAGTTTAAGGTAGCAGCATTTTTCTGACATTTGCTCATAGTACTAGGAATACTGACAAAGTTCGTTCCTCTATTACTACGTCTGTGTTCGGCTTTGCGACAAAGGTCGTTGGATTTTGCCTCTGCTGAAGGCGGCGTGATTTCTTTGGCTGTCTAGCGTTCTCACTACTTTTCAGCTGAGGCTTTTCTCGAAAGCGGAGATGAGCTGCAGTAGTAGATATACCCTTCGCCTTGATCAGGAGCGTGTAATCTTGGTGGTATGGAGCTTGACCTCCCCCTACCCACCACTTCTCCCAGGTCTCCCTGCTCTCCTTGCCACGGAAATCCTCGATGCCTCTAAAAGATCTTGAGTGGAAGGAGTTCATTCCATGTGATTTTAAAGGCTAGATATAATTCTCCTTTACGATCTGCGGGCTGTTGTTTTTCGGTAGCGTTGGGCGGCATCGCAGACTTCCTTGAGTTGCATCGCAAGAGGACAGTTTGCCCGATGCTGTGCCAACTCCTTCAGCACTAGTGCTCACAGTTGCGCTTCCGCTTGCGGCTGGCTGTACGCTAGAATAGCAGTTCACTTGCACTGTGGCGCATTGTGTTTGTTCACAGTCCGCCATTGGCGATAGATTATGCGGGAGCTTTTTTGTCGGTCATGTATCGACACTCCTTTGCAAATGAATGGTCATCCATCCGTTTGTGCTCGCATGGCGGCCCTCGTCGCATTTCGGTCCCTCGTCGCACCAACTTTCGTGTCTGCATTGTTGAGTAGACATTGCAGTAGCGTTTGTTGCGGCTGATGGAAGCAGTGTTTGCAGCTCCCGCAGCGCTCCCCACAACTTGTACCGTCGCAGCGCAGTTGCCACACAGCATGTGGTTGGGTCGATCAGTAACCCTGTCCCGTCCGAGAAGCCTACCTCGAGATTATCGGCCTAGGCACAAACGCCTGTGTGGCGAGTCCTCTCAGCACGGCATCCGGTGGCTGCTGTTCGGAGAAACTTGCGTGAAAGCCATCTACCATAGCAGTATATTGCGATGGTCGAGACTTCAAAATGTTCTGCTTGCTGTAGACAGAGAAGCAGGTGTGTGAGAATCCTCTCGAACCGGCTACAAATTACGTTTTTCACTTTTTTGTAATGGTTGTTGAGGTACGTTTTTCGGGGTGGGCCGGGCGGGGCTGGGTAGCTCTTCGTAGGCTGAAAAGTTGCAGGTCTGTTTCGACTTTGGCCGTGGTCGCGATGGAATGCAGTGTGACAGTGGGCAGAGAGGGTGGGTGGGTGGGGGGAGGGGTGCGGGAGGGGGGTAGGCTGGCTTGGCTGTGGGTTCGAAGGTGTGTCAGAAAAGACTTAGAAGGTGGGGTATATATAGGTAGAGGACGGAATGTTTTGCAGCTGTGTGCATTTTTCGTCATCAGCAGCTGAGGGTGTGGGAGGGAGGAGGCAATGAATGATGTGTTTGGAGGCAGTTCGCCGGACTTTGGAGGGAATGGGTTTGATGAATGAGAAGCGAGGGTATGTTGGGTTCGAAGGTCGGCGTAGACTCTGTAGGGACCACAGTGAGATATCCTGACTTGGCTAATGACGGAGTGCAATCGGTAGCTTAGCATCGGGGGAGTTGAGTTCTTCCCTTCAGGAAGTGATGATGATTGGTTTTAGTGAGAGGCTTCAGATGCGGTGGTGCTTGTTGCTTCTTCGCTTGAAGAGGCAATCGAAGAGAAGGGCTCTCGTCCTCTTCCTTCTGAATGAAGACTTGGTGTCTTCGGTGCAGGGCAGTTAGAAAGTATGGTATGTCCTTTTGCTGGACTTCACAATATGTTRCTTTCTGGTTTTGAAATATGATTACTTGCCATGAAGGCGTGTGGCGGCCAAGGTGAGGAAAAGTGACGGGTGAGAAGGGGGGTGAGGGGGATTGAAAATTTACGAAGATTCAAGTCATCACTGCAAACACAACTCATTCGTTAAGGACGTGCTGGGATCGCTGTTTACGGGATCTTTGTTTGGTGCATATGAGTCCTTGTGGGGAATGGTTGCCTGTGACAACAAACCTGAAGAAAATTGTCTGTGAATGCACTGACACTG